AAATTTAACATTGAACAACCAATTCTCATATTTAATCAATAATGTCCCACAATTCTCAAAACTTGCAAACTATACCTTTTATTATCTGAAGGATCCAAATTGATCTTCAGATCACATAAAACACTTCTAATATCAATTCTAGAGCGTAGGAAAATTTTCAATAATTTTCCTTAATTTCCCCTTATGGCCGAACCTATTCAAGTACATAGGGCAAACTTTTCATTCAATTTCAAGCATGAATTCAACTTCTTTACATCAAATTCATGGTATTCTAATCATCAAACCATTAAATTGCATCAAAATCAACCAATCTCATGTTGGGACCGTCGATGCACCCCACGGCGTAGTAGAAACAAAACTCGACGGTTTCACAGCGATCCAAGTACGTAAAACCGAAATCGGGAAGAAATGATGCGAATACTTACAATGGGTTCCTTGATAAACAGTAAAAACGGCAACGAAAAGTGGTGATCACGAACGATTCAAATCGTAAGCCTCCACGAAAACACGTCTCGATCTGAAATAATGGAATTTGGGACCTTTTGTTTGGATATGTGTTATGGAACCTTTGGCTTAGGCGCAATTCTGTAACTTTTCATTACCCGGTTATTGGTCAGGAATCTACTGTTAAGCGTAGCAGACACCTTGTTGAGGCCACTCTCCAAGCGTCGAATAACAATCCCTGGCTCGTTTCCGAAGGAACTTACGCTGACCGTAATGTAATTCGATTGTCTCATCCGTTGCAAGATTAGATTAAGATCAATACTGATGGGTCTAGACGTGATGCTAATGGCTTTGCTGCTTGTGGCGGTGTAGCTCGTAATCACCTTGGTGAGTGGTGTTTTGGTTTTGCAAAATTTATCGGGATTTGTACCGTCTTATATGCCAAGTTGTGGGGGGTGTATTATGGTTTATATGTTGTGCTTGGGATGCGGTTTTTCGTCGGATAATTCTTGAGCTAGATTGAGGCAATTCGGTTATTGAAGGATGAATCTAGTGGCACTCATTTCCTTAAATGGCATTTGAAGGAGCTCTGTAGACGTGACTGGATGGTGAGCTTTCATAATACTCGGCGGGAAGGGAACAAAGGGGCTGATGCTTTGACTAAGAGTGCGAGGACTGATTCTCTTGAGTTTATTTATCATGATGTCCCACCGACATGGATCCATTCTTTGTTATTTGAGGACTTTGTGGTTATTTAATTTGTTTTAATATTAATACGAGTACTCTTTTCCTCCATCTAGGATTATGGATGTTTTTATTGTTGCTCATACTAGTATTCTCCCTTGTATGACGGGATTGACAATATTGTCAAAATTGACCTTATTGTTTTTTGGGGGGGAATATTTGACCCCTTAATGTTTCAATTTGGGTAAAAAAATATCTCGTTGGATCAAAATCGTTAGTCAATTAACGGTCAATTCTTATATTTGACTAAGCAAGAACACGTGGAGGGAGATGCTAATGTGGCACGTCCGCGTGTGATGCCACGTCAACAATTTTTTTTCAAATTAATTATAAATCAATTTGGGTCAAAAAATACCCTCGTTAGATAAAAATCGTTAGTCAAATAACGGTCAATTCTTGTAGTTGACTAAGCAAGAACATGTGGATGGAGATGCTAATATGACATGTCCACTTGTGATGCCACGTCAACAATTTTTTTCAAATTAATTATAAATAATTATTTTTATTAGATTAATAGCACCAATTAGATGTTACCATGACAACACCATATTGGTTTAAAATCAATAAAAGACTTGTCCAACAAATGAAAGCATATCAATGGGATTCTATCCTAAGTCTAGTGGATGAAAGGCTCAATACCTAACCACCGGGCCAAATCCCTTGTATGTTAAAATTTGACTAATAATGCTATTTAGGGTGTATTTGGTTCATGGAATATAACATTACCTCTGGGAATAATATTAACGGAATGTTACATTACCTTATACATTACTGAGAATGTTACATTATTGTGTTTGGTTTGTTTGACAAGAATGTATGATTACAGTGTTTGGTTAAAAGAATAAAATATTACTGGAATGCATATTTTACTAAATTGTCCTTATGATATTTTTTTAACAAGTTGAAATTCCAAATATTCAAATGAAAATGTTTATATAAAAAAATCATAGAAAATATATTATTGTATTACTTTCAATTTATATATTTTTTATTAAATTTTAAATTCATAAAATTTATATAATTTTTTTACAAAATTTAAAAGATAAATGTGTAGATTAAAACAGTAAATATATCATATATTCTTTTAATCTTAATTAATATTTAAAAATTTATGATAATAAATAAATAAATAAAATTCCCAGTTGGGAATATTTTTGAAATAAAGTTATGATAATAAATTTATGATAATATACTATAGCTTTTGAAATAAAAGTAAGGGTATCTTTGAAATAAATCTTTTAGGACAATGACATTTTAGTCCAAGTTGAAGGGAAACAAAAAATACCTAAGCCCATCATGAGATTATGATTCCCGGTAATATTTGAAAAAAAAGTTATTGTTGGTAATATTTTATTACCCCTATTAGGAATATTTGTCCATCCAAACATGGGAATCACAAGTAGGAAAAAAATACTCACCAGTAATGTTAAAATCCTCTATCCAAACTTCCCCTTAGCATATACCGTAGTCATCAAAACCATTAGGATCACAATTGGGCCAACACTGTTATTTTTTTTTAATTTGAGTTAAATTTAAATTGTTAGAATTGTTTTAGTCAATTTAAATTTATATTTTAAATTTAAATTAATTTTAAATTTATAAATTTTAAATAAGAAAATTTAAAAAATAGTATTGCCATGTGGCAACACCTTATTGGTGCTATTAATTTAATAAAAAATAATTATTTATAATTAATTTAAAAAATTGTTGAAGTGACATCACATGTAGACATGCCACATCATCATCTACTATGACATGGACACGTCATGTCAGCATCTCTCTCCACATGTTCTTGCTGAGTTAGCTCTAAGCGTTGAATGTTAGCTGACTAACGATTTTCATCCAACGAGGGTTTTTTTACCTAAAATAAAACGTTAAGCGGTCAAATGGTCCAAAATAATAAGGGCAAATTTAAGAATACTATCAAACGTTAGAGGTATTTTATTGCATTATGCCTTCTCTTTTTCTTTTTTCGTTGTTTTATATGATTTAAGAAAGTATATTTAACTTTTTATTCAAACTTAAATATTTTTGTTTTCTTACCATCTAAAGATCTGATATGATAATAAAATACTTTTATTAAAATTAAATCATGTTGAACAATTCAACATCAGAATTTAAATTTAATTATAAGAATATTAGTTATTAATTTATCTTGAACGTTAAATCCTCAAACAACAATTTAATAATAAAATTCAACATTATGAATTAAATAAAAATGATATTATGATTTTATTTAAAGTTAAATAAATAAAATGGAATAAATTCAATAAATAACCAAACCGAAAAGTTTGAGGTCTCACTAGTCTTATGGTTATGATGTAACTTTCCAATTTGACTGCCACTGTAACTTTTTAATTCATTGTTTTTTATACCATCATGCCATCGTATTGTAGTTTTAGGCGGAGTAAAACCACAATTATAATTTTAATAAAAAAAATTATCATTTTTTAGAGAAATATTATGGATTTTTTTTAAATAAACCATTTTTGATATTATTTAAGAAAATAAGTTAAAAATAATAATATTTATCAAAGTTGTCTCCAAAGAAAATTAAGATTTTCAATGAGAATAAAAGCTTATCTTATTTAATTGTTGTAGGATTATAATTCAACGTATGTAATTTAAAAACTTGTCCTATTTGAAATGATAAATGTTTATTTTAGAGTATTGATATCATTAAACCTAATTATCTTTATAAACTTGAAAAAGAAATAACGTACAGATGTGTTTATTTAAAAAAAAATTAAAATTAAGACACTTCAACGGTTAAATAGATAGTTATTATCTCTAGGTTTTAAGTTCGAACATATCGTCTATAGATGTATTTAAACGTACACTGTCAAATAATATTACATATCTTACTTAAACATCTAAGAAAAAATATGAAGAATCTTACTTATACACGTGAAAAAAGAATACGGAGTATATAAATATATCTAGAGAAAATCATTTAAATTGAAACAAATACATGCTATAATATTATAAAAAAATACAATTAAATTTAAGGAGGAACTTGATTTGACTCTATTAGAATTTCATAAACTTAATTCAATTCGAAAATAATCAAATAACATTTAATCATAAATTAGAACTTACCAACTCGAGTAGTTCAAATTTTTTTTGACTCATCAAATACTCAGCTCTACCAATAATTGATTAATCCTAAAAAAACTATTAAATTAAGTTAAATTTTTAGAATGAAAAACAAATTAATATAAATAAATAAATGATGAAGATTAAATTTATTAGTAGATCAATGAAAAGATATACAATTGATAAAAAAATATTAAAACTACTATTAGTTATATTTAATTCTTCATTTTTGAACTGATCAGATATTAAATTACTCCCCTTTTAAATAGGTATAAATTTACCCAATGCCAAAATTAATAGTAACTTAGATTTGTTTTTACTCCAACATCACAATCATTGGAAGGATTACGAAATAGTTGGGGACAATAATTAAAATTAATGTGTTGTACCATGAAAGCATTATTCTAAATGCAACTAAATTATTTACGCCAACACTGAGTTATTATAATTTACTTGTAAGTTTTGTTTTTAAATATCCATTCAAAGAATTGATTAGTCCTAATAAAGAATAATTTCGGAAGCCACATTTTATAAGTAAATCCGAAGCATAGCAGTCAGCTGCTTAATCTTTATTCGTTCAAACAACAAGGCGGCGTCCCCTTGAAAATTTCCACACCCTTTTGAGGCTGCAGCACCTGAAGAAGCCTTGGAGCTAAACAATAGTCCTTTCGTTCCGAAAATAGAAACCGAGATTCAAGCCATGGAACTAAAAGGCCATGAAATACTACTCGACTTGCATTCATCGGTCAAATCCGAGACCAAAGACCTTCAAGTTCAAGACCAGCCAAACTCAGCAACAGAAGACAACTGTGGTAGACAAGGCAACAACAAGAAGAGCTGGTCAGTTGGTGGAAGCCATTGTCTCCCTGGAAAGTCTTAGATTAAAAGTTTTGCACCTCAACATTGCCACTCCCTAAGCATCTGTTCTTTACTCGTTCAAACTCAACCTACTATTCATTTTCTAAAAAAAAAAAGTTCTGTTTTGTTTTGGATCAATTCCTAGTTTCAAAATTTCTCAACATTTGTCTTATTTTCTTGCTGGCTTTGTGTTGGAAATGACAATGTCATATGGAAGACCAGCGGATGAGATAACAGCAACAGTTCATCAAATATTCAGCTAACTCAAAGCTACAACGTTAGGGATAAATATTTTGTGTTTAAAAGATAAAAAATAAATTCTTATATATTAATCTTACCCTTATATAAATCAACCCTTACATATTACAAATTTAAAAATAAATCTAATCGTGACCAAAACAGAATAAAAAATTAAATTTAGTGATAATTTTAAAAATAAATAATTGGGTGACAAAATTACAACTTCTAAAATAGTAATTGAGTAACTAAATATGTAATTTACCCTTGTTGTTTTTAACAAAGTTAATGGTTTGAGGCAAACGAGATAATGATTTAAATTTTAGGGGGCAGAACATCTCAAAATATTATTTTAGGAACAACTCGGTACAAATTGTATACTTTAGAGGGTAATGGTGCATTAAACCTTTTCAAAATTGAAAAAAAAAAATTAAGGTAAAGTACACAAATGGTCCTCAAACTATGAGTTGCTTTGTTGAGTCTCATGTCTATTAAAGGTTATAAAATGGTTTCTTGACTATATGATATTGTTTTATTGAGTTCCTCGACCATTAAAAGTTACAAAAGGTTCACTTGCTATTCATATATTCTAAACTTGTCCTCTTTCATATAAAATTGAATACTGTTTGAGCTGAATGTTAATATATTAATTGAGATATGATAAAATTATATTTTAATGATGTTTAATGATACCACCGTTGCTTTAAAGCTCTGTGGTTGTAAGGCGCGGAAATAATGTATGCGAAGACCTTTAGTTGGGATATAAGTAGGGACGGCAATGGGTCGGATCTGGATCGGATCCAACTAGACCCAGATCAAGACCCATTTTCACAGCCTGGATCCAAACCCGCCCCGAATCCGCGTGTCTAAAAAATTGGGACCTAGATCTAGATACGAGGGATCTCATGGATCCGAGTCCAAAATGGATCTATTAAAAAAATGACAATTCGACCTACTTTTTAACGTAATAAAACTGTCATTGATTAATTTCACATCATATGTCCAATGGAAGAAATATTAATTTCAATACAATTAATAACAGAATAAAAAACAATAAACTAAAGTCTAAAAAAACTCCAACACAATTACACAAAACAAATGCCTTTTAACATTTCCTCACATGTTCCATTCAAACCTAAACCCACATTTTTAACATTAAAAATCAATCGGATTACTCTATAACTATTAAAGCAAACAACCAGTAATTAACATATTTTTATTCCTTTATTTTTTTTTTCTCGGTAACCAACTAAACCCCTCTTAAATCTAAAAACTTTTCCAGGAAAAAAGAGGCCGGAAGTTGGTTACACCATCGACAGGTTAGTGAAAGCAGATGTTAATGGAATTGAATTAGCGTTCATTAGAGGTCAAAAGAGCTCCGAAACTTTCACTTTAGCAAATCTTATGCACACCATGTCCGTTGCCGTTTCTTTATCCACAGAAAACCCATCTTTCTTCTCTTTCAACAAGCCATTCTCCATCATCCCTCCCCTTTCATCTTCATCCTACACTCTCCTCTCCCAGCCGTCTGATCAACCTCCTTTGACCGACCCTCCCAATGCCATCACCGTCAAAACCAACATGGTTCATTTGGGGAAAGCCAATCACGATGATCTCTCTCTACTGTCGGTTTTCCAAGCCCGGACCCCAAGTATTCAAGGACGCCACTTTGCCGATCTCCTTTCTGGGTCCTCAAGTAATAGAGCATCTCATTTCCGGTAATACCCAAATTTCAGATTTCGATCTCTGTTTGAGCAAAGCAATTTCTGGTTGTTCTGGGAATCAGCTCATGGTGTTACTCAAATCCGCTGCGGTTTCAGGGAAAACCGATTTGGTCCGTACGTTAATCAATAATGGTGGAGATGTAAATCATAAGGACTCTGTTGAGGCTGGGCATCTTGATGTTGTCAATGCCTTGGTTTCCTCTGGTTGTGAAATTGATAACTCAATCGACCATGTTTTTCACTATGCAGCAGCAATCAACAGTGTGGATTTGATGGATGCTTTATTTCGAGCTTATGAAAACACGTATTCGATCCAATCAGTCAATTTCCACGGTAGAAACCCAATCCACGTACACACCCAAGTGATTCGATGTTGCTCGTCAATAGTAAGAATGTAAAATCGGGTAATCATTTAGGTTTAAGTTGAATTCTGTCAGGTCGAGTAAAATCGAATACATGTCAAGTTAAGTAAATTTGATGCTTCGACTCAGATCAGGTTGGGTACAGATCAAATCAGGTCAGGTCATTTTCATGTTGATTTGACACTAGAAACAGCTAAGGTTTAGGTTAGGTTACTTTCAGTTCGGATAGATGTCAGTTCAAATCAAAACAGTTCATGTTCGGAGCAGATAAAAAACAGGTTAATTCAGGCTCGAATGGACTTCAGGTGGATCTCGTTCAGATTGAGTAACATCATTGGCATATAAAATTCAGGTCAGATCTTTATCAAATACGAATTGAGTTTAAATCGGGTCAATTTTTATTTTTGGATTAATTATTTTTGTCTTTCGCGAACGTTGAATTTCAATTTGTAATTGTATATGATTTATAGTAAATTACTAAGAATATAAATAATCATGGATCAGTTTTATAAAAATATAAAAATAAGGACTAAATTGAACAAATATGAAATTACAAGTAAAAATTTAAATAAATTAAACAACATGCATTATTGAGGGACCGAATCGAAATAATTTTAAAATGTGAGGTTGAAATTAATATAAAAAATACTAAATTTACTCATTTAAAAAGTTATGGACCAACTAAATATAAATAAGTAATAAGTATGGGTGAATTTCAAATGCAAATATAATTTTAAGGACTAAATTGAAGAAATATGAAATTACAAATAAAAATTTAAATAAATTAAACAACACAAAGGGATCAAATCAAAATAATTGTCAAATCTGAAGAAAATCTGTAAAAATGGACTAAATTGCATTAATTTCAAAATTTGAAAAAAAAATTGAAATAATTGTTTATATATATATATATAAATTGAAAAAATTAAAACAATTGTTTATATATATATATTATGTATAAACTATATAGTTTGATAATATAAACTATATAGTTTATATTTATATTATTATATATTATATATAAATTATATATATTATGTATAAAATATATATACTATTAAGTTAATCGATCGACGAATCGGCCAAGAGGGGGTGAATTGGCAATAAAAATTTTGGTGGAAGCTTTTGCATAAAGTTGAAAATATTTGCATAACGATTTGGAGTGGTTCGATTTTCTCAACCAAAAGTCTACATTCACTACTTTAGCTATCAACGCTAAGGATTTTCCAACAAATTCACTAATTTGTTCTTTCTTTTGAGGACAAAGAGTAACCTTACAACTCCCTCAAGAATTATACCCCAAATTCTTGAGAACACTCTCTCCCAAAGAGAAGATTACGAATTTCGCAAACTTACAGAAAAACTCACAAGGCAAGATGTTTGCACAATTCTAGAACAAAGAAAGAACACTAAAGAATGAATATAATTGAGTACAAATGGTGTTCTTGAAAGCAAAATGAATATTGAATGAAAAATATGTTTGAATTGCTCAAACTTGATGTTTAAGGCTTTCTTTTTGATTCTCTCTCAATTCTTTTTTATCAATGGCTTCATAACTTGTTTAAATATACCTTGGATTGATTCTAGCCGTTGGGAATCATTTGGGTGATGTTAGAGCCGTTGTAGTGTGAAAATCGTCTTGAAAAAGGCTGTTAGGAGCGTGGGGTATCGGTACATCCTCAATGGGTATTGGTACCTACAGTGTAAAATTCAAATATTTCGACCGTTAAATGACTAAGGGTATCGGTACCTCTAGGGGGTATCGGTACCCATTGGGCATTCTGTTTTTCTTGGAGCCAAAAATAATACAAGGGTATCGGTACCTTATGAAGGGTATCGGTACCCATTTGGCATTCTGTTTTTCTTGGAGCCAAAATCAACATAAGGGTATCGGTACCTATAACTTAGGTATCGGTACCTCCTTATTTAAAACTTATTTTTGGCTCGATTAAGGTTCGAAATACTTTGAAAAAATTGTTTCAAAAACATTTGAAGTATGAAACACAATTTTACACTTAAGTAAGGATTGAAAATGACATTTGAAAAACTTGGAGTAATATTTTTGATATTCGAATAATTTAATCGAATATACTTCAAAAATGATTATAAAATCTTAAAATTCAATAACACTTAATTTATTATATCAAAACATCAAAATGTTTTAAACAACCTCCCCTTTTTTATATAACAAAACATTTAAGTAATTTTAAGATTTTCTTTGAAAATTAGTTTTGAAATTAGTTTTGGAAAATTACTCTCCCTTTCTTTATTCTCCCCATTTTTGTTAAATCAAAAATACTCTATAAAATGTTTTTAAACAAGATTTATTCTCCCATTTAGAGAAATAGCCGATTGATTTAAAATTGAAAGCTTAAGCTGCTAAGATCAAGAGAAAAGTTAGCCATTAGTTTCATAAATCAATATTCATAAATTATATGCAATGGTAATTGGCCATATTCTAAATGATGCAAAAATTAATATAAACCAATATAAACATTAATTTCAAACCACTTAAACAACCAAAATCAAATAAAAACATATAAGTTCAATCATCCAAACATACATATCAAACAAATCCAAAAACATCAAAGTGTTTTAACAATAAGTTCAATCTCAACCTGAGAAAACAAAGCAAGAAACGGTCTAATCGTCCACCGGTGGAGCAGGAGGAGATAAATGTGCCCATATATTAGCCACATCACGTGTAAGCGCATCGACCCTCTCGTCCATTGCATCGAAACGATGATTCATCGCTTCGTTGTTAGCAGTTAAATGGGACTCGATGGATACAAACCTCATGTCAAGAGTCTCCATAAAGATGTCAAGTTGATTTCGTTTTTAGGAGAGATGGCTACATCAAGCTGCAAGCCGTACCTTAAGCTTGGCTTTGATAAATAAGTTACTAAGAAGACAGCCATAAACTAGAGTTTCAACAAGTTTTTTATTAGGGACATTGTTTACGATTTCAAAGAGTTCACCAAAGATAATTTGTGGTAGGTTTATTTCTTATTTTTTTGGATACAATGTATCCACCATAGATCTAAAGCTCTAAAAGTGGAGTATTTGCCTGCGGATGGTCTAAACCACCAAGAGATGATCAGATGAAGAAAACAATCGTGGTGATCTAATACATTCGCACTCGACTTGGCTTTGTAAGGAGTACCTACTAGTTCTTTTTCATTATCTAAGTCGTTATTACCTAAACCAAATGTGTTAGCTATGTAGTCTGAGTCAATATAAATGTATTGGCCTAGGAGATAAGACCTAATACTTACTGTGGAGGTGTGAGACTCATTTTGGATGTATACGATATTGGAATAGAAAATTCGAACAAGTTGTTGGTAAACTACTGGTTCAAGTTGAAAAAGTTTATAAAATTTCCAAGTTTGAATGGTAGGAAGATATTTAAAGTTCATATCTATCATTGCTTGAAGAGAAAGGATACGTTCTTCCCGAATTTTATAAGACTGGAAGAGATAAACAAACCTATGGTGGAGATTTTCTCGACGGCCAGGTTCGTTAAAACAAGAATTTAGTATAGTCATTTCGGGGTCATCAGGATTAGGATTTTGTAGTTGAATAGGTGGTGGATTTGGAGGTCGGTTTGAACGACTAAACGATGTCTTAGGGCGTTTTGAATGAGACATGGTTCAAGAAATCGAAATAACATATATACCTGTAATTTTAAAACATATGTATGCAACAATTATCAATCCCAAAACTCAATATGAGTCCTCAATATTTCAAGGTTCTCTAAAACTAATCCTAATAGGCAATTTGGAAAACTATTTAAAAAATGATGTTTGAAAAATCATAATAAGTATAGTTTTCATGAAAACAACATAATTAAATCAAAAACAACAATTTAAAAAAAACAAAAAAAAATATTTCGAAAATTTCAAAAGATTTTGAAAAATCTTGTGTTTTTGATGAAATTAGTTGTATATTCTTGTTCTAAATTAAAATCTAGGCAATGCCCAATATCTAAATCAACCTAGAACTAATTAAAATTAGTCCTAAGTTCAAAAATTAATAAAATAGGGTTTTTAGAAGAAAACAATTACCTTGTAATTTGAAGATTGAGTGGATTTTGATGTTGTTTGCACTAGTTTGATGATTGTAGCAAGAATATATGTTGAAAACTGAACTAATTCCGACTTGAATCGTTGAAGATGAGCAAAGTGGAGAATTTAGGGCGAGAGAGGAGTGAACGGGGAGAGTGTTTATATTTTGGGGGTTTTGATAAAAATAAAGTTTTTAGGGATTTAAAACCCAAAACCCGATGGAGGTATCGGTACCCTTATAGGGGTATCAATACACATTCAAAGAGGGTATAGATACATGTTGAAGGAGTACCGATACCTAGCAAGGAGGTATCGATACCTATAAAGGGGGTATCGATACCTAGTGCACAAAAATGTCAAAATCTGCATTTAAACACTTAGAATACTAAATTAATTTGCTCTAGTGGTATTGACAACTCATATTATGAAAATTAACTATGTTCAATCAATTAAATTTTATTTGAACATATTATTTTCTCTAAAGATCATAAACTCCCCCTAACTATTAGCATATAATGCACTCAAAAATGTTATTTTTATAAGCATTTTTCACTTTTAATTAAAAATGCTAAAATCATTTTAAACACTAAGTGAAGATAGGTTAGTTAAACATAATTCTCTCCTAAGTATCCAAAATCTTTATTTATCTAAAGATTTTGTAAAAATATCCGCTAATTGATGCAAAGTATCAACAAATTCTAGAACTACATCTTCTTTAGCGACATGATCTCTAATGAAATGATGTCTAATTTCAATGTGCTTAGTTCTAGAGTATTGGATGAGATTTTTAGTGAGACAAATAGCACTAGTATTGTCACACTTGATAGGTATTGTACCTACTTCAATTCCATAATCTAAAAGTTGTTGTTTCATCCATA